GATCATCACCGCTTCTTTTTACCCATTTCATCACGTTCGATGGGTCCAAAAACTCGGCAATGAGAGGGTTTGGGTGATTCTTTCAATAATCCTTATGTATTTTTTCATATGATTCAATTTCAGCGGCCACTGTTGGCATGTTCATATATGCATGGATTTTATCGTTCTTCGCGAACCAAGGCGCATTTGCAATATCCCTCAGAATGCCGTTTTGTACTTGTTGGAGACATAGTATATTCGACTTGCATGTCACGCTCCCATATGTCCAGATCGGTTTTAAAATTGAATTATATACAGTGGTCTGTTATCTACGGATAGTACCGAGTTTCTTCCCATCAGCCAGTATGAGCTTCGGTACTTTGTGTAATTTCGTTCCTTTTAATCTTAATGTGATTCTTCCAGGTCAAACTTCGATCAAGGTGGAATCCTAGGTATTTCACGCTGTCGGTATGTGGTAGGATATCATTTCCAAGTTTGACTGGGGTACAATTACCCTTCGTCAAAGTGAATGTACCATGGTGAGATTTATTAGCACTTGTGCGTATCCACCAATTAGATAGCCACCTGTGTGTCGCATCAAGCTGCTTTTGCAACTTATAGCTGGATATCCCAGGGTCAGTGTCGGTTGATAAGAAGGCAGTATCGTCAGCGTAGGTTGCAACAGTGACGTTATCCAATACCGGTAGATCATGTGTAAATATCGTGTATAGTACTGGTCCAAGGACCGACCCTTCAGGAACTCCAGCCTCGAATTAGTATATGATTTAATGAGAAGGAACATTAAGTGTGGCAAGTTATTATTCACTTTGGCCAAGAGTCCCTTGTGCCAAACTGTATCAAAAGCCTGCTGTACGTCAAGAAAAGCTGCTGAGCAATAAAGCTTATGTTTGAAACCTTGTCGTATCGTGTGACATTCTGTGGACTTGTTCGATCGTAGAGTGTGCTTTTCTGAAGCCAAACTGATGAACTAGAGTAACACTACATTTATTCATGGCCGGAAAAAGTATTCCTTTTGCGACTTTTTCTGCTTAACTATGGGAAAAATACTTTCTTTCCCATAGTTTTGAGAGGAGTCAAACTTACAAATATACTTTGTGTAAAATTTAAAGATAGGTCTTGTAAGCATCTCCAATTTTTTTATTTATACCATTTTATAAAAATTATGTTGAAGCTACTTTTCATAAATAAAGAGATCTTTTCAAGGAACTTAAAATGGGATCAGAGCAATATATTAATATTTTATTTCTGGTTCATTTACCCTTCTAACTTTACATAATGAACAAGTAAAGAAAAAGGTGCCATATAAGAAATCAAGTGGAAAGTAATGACGATTAGTCCATCTACAAGACTATCTTAAATATTTTGACAGAATGTATTGTAGATGTCTTTCCCGATTTCATTTCCAATACGGTGTAAAAATATCTCGAAATCAAATGTCAAATAAGCCCGCGTGAGAATGAGATGTGTTGCTGTGATAAAAATAACTGATTTCTGATATTAGGTCCAGATTTACCAGACACATCTGATGAAAGATACAGCGACTTGAAATGATAAAGGGACGAAATTGCATCGATATTTATAATAGAGTTGGATATTGTCGATATTTGCTTTCTTTTTTGCAAAACATTAGTTTGAAAGACTTCGCTATCTATCTGTCACCAGACTGTATTTCATGAACCGTGAAAGATAGTTCAAATTTTGACACAACAAATTCTAAAAATCTGAATAAAGTAAATATTTAAGGAGGCAACAATATACGTGGTTTTTCATTCACCAGACTGTCGGTCAGTTGTACAAACGTCCGTTAAGGTTTAATGACGCCTTTAAGGTCTAATGAATGTCAAATTTTTATGGGTAATGTTACTTTAAACTAATGTAAATTTTAATGGACGTTTGTGCAACTAGTTGTGTATCTATGAATCATTATAGTTAGACAGTCCAGATTTTCCCAGATGGTGTATTTCTGTTGCCGCTATAACAACAATTACTAAAAAACAGAATAAAATAAATATTTAAGGGGATTCCATACATCAAACGAGCTTTTTTTATTGCTCGCTTTCGGTACGGAACGGTTTTTAAATAAAAACCGGGTGTTTCTGTTTTTGAATTCGATTCGAATATTGGAAAAGTTCGTCAACAGTGTTCTAAGGTTTCTTCTTTGGAAAACGAATTATTTTTATTTATTTATTTAGATTTTATAGTACACACTACAAATGGCGGAGTTAATACCTCTTAGAGTTCTCTACCAGTCAAACGGAGAGTTTTATACAGATGATACATGAGGCAGTGCTTAAAGATCAACTGGAAATAGATATTGGACAGACCTAACGCGTAAATATTTATCGGCAACAACAGAGCACTGCCACTAATGACTTAATACTCAATATTTAAAACCTTTACATTCATCTCTCGTATTTATTATGCTTAAGAACTATACCACTTCAAGATTGTGAAGCCAATAAATCCATACATACTGAGTTTATTTTCCGGAAAATTCCATTGCTAAATTTAATTAAATTGAATTTAATTTAAACAAATTCTTTGAGGATTCCAAAAACATCACTTGATCTTCTGATTTATGCTCCAAAATTAATTGATCCCGTTTGAAAATTTTTATTTTCGTTGAGATCTTAGGTATTTTTAAACTGTACGTGTATGTATTTTTTTTGTCGATTTAGGACGCGTATCCTGAAAGCCTGGTAAAATTGCGCACAAAGATTGCATTGGTTCTGTTTATAAATTGAGAGAGATTATACATTTTGCGTTGCCGGTGATGTTCCGTAAAGTCAAGGTCTTTACGGACACTCTGTGAAGATGATCCACTTTTCAGAGCATCAGTTTCGAATCTAAAGTGATGTCCAATAATAATCTATATAGTGCAAATTCATTTCTTAAGTGCGACCTAAAACGTTTTTCTATAATTAATAGGGTAATAAAAATAATAATAAAATATTTAAAAATCATGGTTATTTATTTATTTTTTTCGAATATCTCATTAATGCGGTTAAATTGTGAGAAATTCTTGATGGTAGTGATGAAATTAAATAAAACTTGGATCTTTGACTATGAAAGTGAGTTGATGCAAGTCGGTATGAATTCCCACACAAAATAAGGTATTCTCCTTTTGGTAAAAGGGGTGAATAAAAGAAATTCTATTTAGTCCGTCAGCCGATAATAGAAAATACATTTAGATACTTAGATATTAGACATTAAATTAAAGGAGTAGGGGCTCGCTACTTCACAACTACGTTGCAAATCTACACGCTTTTGTACAAAGGCGTGACGTTAGTGGTCATTTATCAATTACGCAAAAATTTTAAGAATACGTGTATATATATTACACTCCAGTAATCTAGCTGACGGACAGAAATAAAAAAGCGACATGCAGTTTTGGCAGTTCTGTCTTAAAATTTATTAAAGATAATAATGTTTCTCTTGACTTTTTCTCCGACCCAATATTTTTGCTGTAATTACGTAAAACCTGATAAACACGTTAAATACAGTATAAATGTAAGTTCTTTTTCGGATAAAACAAGTTCTTAATGTTTTCCTTACACAAAAATGTAACTAGTTATGACTTGAGTTTAGTTGAGTATAGTGCCGTCTACTGCGGTGGATCAAGTGCAAAAAATCTGCTGTCCCCACGTCTGCTTCATCCACGCTAACCGACGAGCGAATTTAATACAGAATATTTTATATGTATCTGTGGTATAGAGTAAAGTTTTTGGATTGTTACGCTCTCATGTTATTTTTTAAATAATGAATGTTGGCAGTATTTTAATATTCAGCTTTTCACGAATTCAATGAGTATAGATTGAATAGATTCTTTCATTGTCGGACTAAATATTTTGTTCACCCATTATTCTCGATCATTAAAACAAATACGATTAGTCTTCATCGTGGATAGCAACACATTTGGATGCTACTGATTACTTAATTAATTGATTTCTTGATTCACTTCTCTGCATGTTGAAGTATAAATCGAGTTTACACGTGAAATCGTTCACAGCTCGGCAAGTCAATACTGAACTTTATGTTAAAATCAATCACCTATGTAAACCACATGAAAGAAATATAGTAGAAATTACAAAAAAATATGTTTAAAATGTCGTTTGCATGATTCAACTTACGACAATATATTACTAGTAGAGACATTGTTAAAAAATGTTAAGTAAAAGCTTAGGAATATACAAAAGAAAACTATTAGAATAGTGGGCATGGTAGTGGGCATTAGAATAGTGGGTGGTAAATTCTATTTAGAATAGTGGGCATTTTGCATAACAATTCATTTCAAAAACTATTTAAACTCTTCCAGTACAACTCTTAAAGGTCTTACAGGGGTAGTAATCTTCTACACTTCTAAAATAGGCATATAAATATTTATTTATATGCCCATTTTAAATAAAAATAAAACGTTTCGTTTCCATACATTTGATTCATACATATGAGAAAGTAGATTGTTCCCTTAAAAAACAGATAATTTTTAATTATTTAATATTGTATTAATTGTTATTTATATTATCAGAACCATCGCCTTCATGACGTCATAGACTTTAGAAGTGTATAATTCCTTTGACTAAATCCAATCTCTAAAGTTTTCTTTGTGCTACAAATAGATTCACGGAAATTTCTTGACGCTATCTTTTTGATAAATAGTCTAATGTAACAGTAAACTTAAGAGCTCACCATTTATAGGTTTACAGCTTACATGGACCCTGTGGTGACCATAAGAGCTCACAGAGTCCACGAGTGCCGATTGATTGCGTGTATATTGAGCGTAAGTACTGTGTCTTTGTTTCAATATCTACTAGCATGTGTATTTTTAACAGACAGTATCCCTAATTATTGCTTTAAATAATACTAAACTTTTTGCTTTTCGAGAATCTAATTCCTTGTCAAGTGTAGCTTGGGGAAGGCCACGGCTTTAAACAGGGTACAATTGACAATGAGTCTTAGAAAATTAATTTTATTATTACACCTAATTAAAATAAAAGTTCTTTTTAGTCTATCGAATTATCAGAATCCATATTTTCGACAGATTCGGATGTCTCTTGACTCTTAAAATTATTAAACACTTTGGATGGGTAGCGAAAATGTTTACCGAAAGCCGGTTCCGCATATTTTTTGAATCTCTTAAATTCCCATTCTTCTCTTGCCCAGTCTTCCTTTTTAACGTAAAAGAATAGAGTTTGCAACCACTTCGGAACTAATTCATCCATGTAGTAAAATCTTCGTTTCCATACCCTATGAGTTTCGACGAAATTGCCAGCGTGACCTCCCATCCAAAGCGGAACACTGATTAAGAGAAAAGGAAAATTAAATACTACCACTAACGCCATAGTGATAAAAATCGTTGTTTTTTGGAAATATTTAATAAAACCACATACACTACTCATATTATAAGATGAGTAGCTAAAGTACTCGTATTAATTATGGAGTTTGCAATTGTCTCCTTTAGTCCCTCCTAACCTAAACTCTAAAGAAGAGAATTGCAAACTCCATTTTAAAGAGACATACTGAAGAACCTAGACATTGATTTATTTAATACATCAGCCATTCAGTTAATATACTAACAAACTACCCCATACTGTTTCTTTAATATTGCTTAGTGTGACTTTTGTCCAGCAGTGGAAGTTTTCCGACTGAAATTATGGGTGTGTCATATCTTGATTCATTTATTACATAAAAAGAAACTATTTTGTTATAATCGAAATGTATTTAACTGTGAAAACTTTTAAATGGCCTTCTGGATTTGTTGTTGTGAAATATTCTAGAACGTTTGCAAGTTTTCTGTAAAATAATAAAATAAGTTACCTTAAAATTCATATACTTACAGACTGAAATATCTCAATCCCCATCTATATAAGTTAGTGTAGAAGTAGCCTGATAAGGGATTCAATTGGGGATATGTGCCGCCGCTAGATATGCCTGCTACCATGGCTATTACGGTGATGCCTATCTCGTATCCGTCAACCAGCACTACCAAACCTTCTTGTACGTTTTCGATTGAAGGCAACGCAACAATTTCTGCCGCTTCTAAACATAAAAAACAAATTATATTTAAGTAAATATAATCACTCGAATAAGATGTGAAAGGTAGTCTTAGAGTTGTAGGTTTGTGCATATCATACTGTTGTCTAAGGTCACAAAATGTATAAGAGTATAGGACAGTTACTAAAGTATAGAAAGTAATTCCACATTTGTACATAATAGGCTGCCGAAAAAGGAAAGTAAATACACTCAGCGGCACGGAGTGTTGCCCAACTGCAATTCAGGTTTATAATCAAAATAATTAGCAAACAAAATTGTTGATTTCTTTTTTGTTATATTTGTTTATTTATTTTTCAAATTCCAATTACTGATTTACATTAAAAATATGAGAATTTAATAAATTTTACAAACAAAACATAAAAACACGTAAAACATGAAACAAAGAAAAATGGATATCAAGTTAATTAAACAAAATGTACAGGTGCCGGAGCAATTCTACGGCTCGGGCTGGTCTTCGAGTACGAAAATTACGTTCCTCTATCCTTCTTCTTATGGTTTGCTCACTCACCTTTACCTCTCTTGCCGTTTGAAGGCGCTGTCATTTCTCAACAGCAGTGTGAAACCGATTACTCCGAATTGTAAGAATAATGAATGATGAAAATTAAAATTTCTCGCCGAGGTCGCCTTGCCCCAAAGCAACACAGCTTGAGCCATTTGAGCTAGAGTAAGAAGCATTATCATTCGTTTTTAGAAGCGAGAATAAATACAGATTAATTTAAAATCAAAATACAAATAATACATGTCATGAACATTTAATAATATCATTTTAACTCACCAATATCTTTTATGTTTCAGTACAGTACAAAGGTTCAATAGACATAATAATAAATATAATATAAAAATTATTGTTTTCTTACTTCCTCTCTTGAAATATTATTACGCGACAGATAATTAGCTTGTTATTGCAAATTTTAAGTATGGGCCACATTCCGTACCTTTGAGTGTATAATGACATTGAAATAAAAATAGGTATTTATGTAAAATGGATTTTTACGCAAGTTTAGTAAAGGATGAAGTACAGTATAAGTACACATTGTTCGTTTTGAAATGCCCGTTTTGAAAACGTTTCAGTCCGATACCTCCGTAAACATTCAACGCGAGCTTTCATGGCTAAAAGCGAGCGAATGACTACGGAAGTATCGGACTAGAGGGTTTTCAAAACACCCAATGTGTACATAGTGTTAATGAGGAAGCCGCAGAGCTTACAAATAAAACTACCTATAATTTAGCAGTACTAAGGGTAATGATGGATAATTAAACAGATGATGGACTGAAATAAAGAATATTAAAATAAATGAATGTCAATATCTATTTACATATGTTTCGATTCTGATATTCCTGACATTAAATAATGGAATTGGTGGGTTCATTTAGGGCAAAGTCTATTTATTTTTTTTAAGTGCAAAACTAGTTGCTTGCGCTTCTGTGTAATTTCATTAAGTCACATGGTTCGGCGGTGACCAGTATACTCTTGAAGAAGATGCATTAAAAAAATGTATTGTTTGACGCATTTTGTTAAAATAATGACTTTGAATGGTGTAATTATTTAAAAAACATAGGGTTAGTCCGGTCAAATTAGAACAAAAAACTTTGGTGAAAAGTCTTGAGCATGCTTATAAAATATATAATCCACATCTTTAAAAAGTATTTTTATTTATATAAGATTACTCCTAGAACGCACATAAAAGCTCCTCAGTTATAAGTGTGACACGTTATCTATTTAGTGAATCGAATATGCCTATAATTACTGATGTTTAAAATTAAATCGTTTTTTTACATCACCTAGTTAGGAAGAGTCTTCACTGCTTGTGACAAGCATAGCTGCTTCCATATCGTCATCATACAGGTAATATCTTTAGAGTCAGATACAGCGTCATAAACAAATTATAATATTATTATGTGCCAGGACTTCGTGGTGTGGATTAGTTAAGAACACTGAACAACTTTTAGTATACAGAAGTACCGAATTCACGAAAAAATAATCGGCTGTTTCATACTTTCAACGACTTATTTTTCGTGAATTCAGTGTGGATCCCATAATAAAAGTTGTTCAGTATACTTAATCGTTCCACTTCACGAAATCATGGCATATAACAATATTACAACTTATATATTGAAGACGATTAGGCCGAGATGGGACGCTTGAGTAACGTGAGTTGTAAAAACAAATTCAAGCGCATCATTTACACGTGTAAGAAAAGCGTTGTCGATCACGATATAAAAAATCAGACTGCTGAAGTGAGATTAGTTGATTAACATACCATGACAAAATTGGATACAACAAGAACACGAACCTTCGAGAACACACAAATTTGATGTAGATCTATAGTTTTTTCACAGATCAGTTATCTCGTGCTACGAATTGCATGTTTTTGCATTTAATATATGTACTGTTTTATAAGTTTATTTCTTTCGGTTAGGAAATGTATCAATTCTCTCTTATGCCAAAGTCAATAATTTTATCTCCGGTCAATACCCAGAAAAAATTATCAGTCAAACTAAAAAAAGATCTTTTCTATGTTAAATTAAAATTATCTTGAATCGTTATTAAGTATTTTGCAGCAACGCAACGTGAATTATGCTTTAGAAGTTCACTGTATTTTAATAATGGAATCCGCTAAAAATCAGCTTTGAAGCTTAATCACTGCGACAATATGCCGAGCGGGAAGACCTTATTGGTACCAAATTTTAAGTTTCTTAACAGCCTACTAGTAATATATATGATTTAATACTAAACAAAACTTATTTTTAATTATATTCTACTGTCATAGTATATCAACAAAATAAATTGTAAAACTAACTTGATAATAACAAACATCTTGGTTTATGTTTGGTTTCAAACCCACTTACGAAACATTGTAAATACTCTTTCTTTTTGCTTCTCTTGGTTATGTTCAAAATCAGTTTGAATGCATCACTATGCGTTGTAGTTATAATTAGAATTGGCCGCACGTCTAGGCATAAAGCAGACAGGTTCTCTTTACTAATGAAGAGGAACTTCATTGAGAGTTAAGGCAAACTTCCTGTATAACATCGGATGATTTGATTATAACAGCATTAGTCTTTCACTGACAAAACTTTGGAATCTATTGACTATTGGAGCTTTAGATATATAGTATTGGAACTTTGTACTTGTTACGCGAGAGCACGGTTCAAAGTTTTGCGGATAATCAATTCCGATGAGTTCACCTTTAGACTTGGTTAGGTTAGACAACCTGACGTGTGTTGTCTCCTTATGCACGATCGTTTTCATTGATAAATTACAATCTTAATTATTTTCCCCCACCACTATGAAATGGTAAAATATGACCTATTCACTATGTCTGTTCACAATTACGATATTTAAGATTATCTGGAAACGCAGCGTGTACCAAAAGATGTTAGTTTGAACATTCTGTAAATATTAAATCAAACGGAGCCATTTACTTTTCTTGTCGGAGTTTGTTTCGCCAGTTCTTCTCAGACAGGACTCCCCCAAGTTGGAACTGGTGGTGGTTACGGTAGCCAAAGGTCAATAAATAAGTCAAATGCGTTTTTAAAATAATTTGAGTTAATAAATGTAAATGTTGCTCAATTTTTTTTTTGTATTGTGAATGTGTCCAATAGTATTGGTATTTGAAGGTAACATACTTTTAATCTAAAAGACAATCAATACCTTAGTTTTATATGAGTACGGAACCTATAAAGGGTCCGAAACGTTACTAAAACTAAATACAAATGCGATGAAACCGTTTAAAAGTTTGACATTGAATGAAGACTGACATTTATATTAGGTCCTTACATATGAAATTGGTGTTTGGAGGAACAAAAAGTCGAATATTTTTTAATATAATATATTTATTTAATAAAAGTATAAACCATTGATGCACTTTTGCCATCTCATAGGTAGTTCACTGAACCCCTTACTAAAAGAACCATTCGGACGGGAATCAATAAAATCTTTGAAGGCGATTTGCACTGCCCCATCGGGGATGAATTATCCAAATTTCGAAATAAAATAAAAAGGTTATCTGTTGGAGCAAAATCCGGGGAGTACGGGGATGTCTTAGACATTACAATTGAAGCTCTTCTAATTTGGTAGCCGTCTATTGTGCAGTGTGTGGTCTAGTGTTGTCGTGAAGTAGCAGTGGCGTAGAGTGATTGACCAGCCTCGGTTGTTTAACAGCTAGTTTTTCCAGCATGGTTTGCAATTGCTGACAATAGACGTCTGCTGGCCATTGATTTGAGAAAATTATAATGAACGACACCGGCACTAGTCCACCAAACGCTTATAAGTAACTTTTTTGAGGTCAATTTTCGCTTGGAGCAAGATTTGGCTGGCATGCCAGGGTCCAACCATTGCGATGAGCACTTCCGATTATCTTAGAGAATCCACTTTTCATCACAGGTAATGATTCGATTTAAAAACCTTTCATTATTCTGCCGATTAATTAATGTATCCCTTCATTATTTTGCCGGTTAAGTACGCAGCAGTCGAAACGCGTTTGCCGGTTTGCTTCACGCAATTTATGAGATACCTACCTTTTAAGCTTTTTAATCTTTCCAATTTGCTTCAAGTGGATTAAAACAGTTTATCACTAACACCGCAGCCTGCAGCTAACTCGGACGTGGTTTGCGATGAATCCGCTTCCAGAATACCCTTCAATTCTTCATTATCAACTTGGGTCTCCGGCCGTCCATGGGGCTTGCTCTGCAGGTCGAAATTTCCAGAACGATAACGTTGGAACCAAAAAAGGAATGTGTTTTCTTTTGCGACACAACCGCCATATACATCATTAACCCTTCGAGCCGTTTCCGCAGCACTGGTACCACGGTGGAACTTGTACTCGTAAATAACACGATATTTCAAGTTTTTCATTTTTTTTACTGTGTGACGTAAATAGCACAAACAAAAGAAAAAAAAAACTAATGAATGCCGCCTAATGAAACATAAATACATGTGTAGGATGTACAAATTTGAATTTGGAATTCGCAACCAAGGAGGAGAAATTGTGATTAAAGTGGCCAGTACGACAAAGCGCAAATTTCATATGTAAGGACCTATTATTTAATACAATCACCTTTAACTCGTCACTTGTCAGTACTGTTTGAATACCAATAGGACTTGATAATTAGTATTCTTTTTATAATAATGATATAACAAGAGAACCGTTTTCTTATACTATTTGTTTTTAACCAAAGAGTATAATATAGTTTCTTTCTTTACTGCATAGTATAAAACAAAGTCGCTTTCTCTGTCCCTATATCCCTGTGTATGCTTAAATCTTTAAAACTACGCAACGGATTTTGATGCGGTTTTTTTCATAGATAGGAGGATTCAAAAGGAATGTTTTTATGTATAATACAAAACCGCGCGAGCGCAGCCGCTGGCGGAAAGCTAGTAAATTATAAAGATATGGCTTCATGCCGGTTGGGTACGTGATCGGCATAGACTAATTTTACATGAGGTAAGTCGCGATAGTCAGTATTTTAATAAGGATAATTTTACTGGATACTTTTTAGCTAGGGAACGTTCTGGGGCTTACTTGGACAGCTTTGGTTT